CTCTTTGTCAATACCAATACCATGCTTACATAACCTTCAGCGAGGACCTCCATAACACTTCAGTGAGAAAATAGAGGCCATTTGCTGTGAACTCTCTCTTCTCTTCTCCTTGACACCCCCCACACACACATATATACACACTTTCTCTCCTGTATGCTCTGATAATGAAGTGGCTTTTCTCCTTGTCAAGATCAACCCTTCTATATGTCCTCTTCATCCCATTCTCTCCACTTCTCCAGCAGATCACCTTCTCAATAAGCCGTCTTTAACCTCCAAATCTCTTCTTACCACTGGTTCCTTCCCTGCTGCCTATAAACATGCCCAAGTCTCTTTCACTCTTCCCTATACTCTACCATCCCTTCACATTATCATCCAAAATCTCTCCTCCATTTCTCAGCTAGATGCCTAGAAACAGTTGAAGAATGAGTGATTATTCTGGAATGTTAACTCGAAACCGAATTTTAACACATTGCGTGGCCTTTCCCCTTGTCAAGATTTCTATAAATATTAAAACAAACTATCTTGGGGGAAAAAGAACATGGGAGGACTATGTTTGAACATTTCTCTAACCTAAGAGTAACTGAATTTGGAATTAATTAATAAAAATTGCTTCTGGCAGACATGTGCCAAAAATTCAGAGTACAGTATTAATTTTCTTTTTCTTCAACAATGTAAGGAGCAAAGAAGTGTACTAGGCTTCAGGACATTTTTGTTTTCTTATCTCCTCATTACTCAGTCACTTTTCTGGGCCTTAGGTTCCTGAATTGACAAAGGGGAGAGGGGTGGGGGACAGATGGTCAGGTCAGTGCATCTCAAAGGGCCCTTCCAGTTCTGACATTCTATGAGTCTTGGATCTTGGCAGAGAAGCAGGTGGGCTCATTCTGCAGCAAAAAATGAGAGAGATTGGACAGCAGCAAGAGCTAACTTCCACAGGCAAAGATCATAAGCCTTAAGAAAGAAGGAATAAAGACAAAGTTTTGCTCTCAAAGATCTCTCTGTATTCTCTTGGTCCTGGAGCAAGGATCTAGGGTGACATTGATCAGATCTCCAAGCTAGCCTGGGAAGTCAGTGACTCTTTGGAGCCCTGGACTCTGAGGAGGAAAGAGGAAGCCCCAAGAAGTCTGGCACATGAAAAGTTATTGTTCTAGAATCTGCTAAACAAGGACTCTACTCCCAGTGTTTAGACAGAAGGCATAGGAGAGGAAGTGAAAGGAACAGCCAAGCCATCCAGGCAAGCTGCCCACCTCCTCGACAAAAAATGATGTCCAGGGTGGGACTGGAAAGAGCTGGCTCAGAAACCCCACCCCTCTCTACCCTTTGGAAATGCTTAGCCCTAAGCCTCAATCTGGCTCCAGACTTACAGATCTTTCCTCCTTCTAATCCAAAGTACTCTACCCCACTTCCCTCAATACATCAATTCACACCATACCACACCTGCCCTTAGTACACAAAATACCAGAAGGGGTAAAGTGAGTCACAAGGAGTCAGGAGCAGGTCACACAAGCCCACTACCAACCACATCTAATGAAGCTTTTGGGGCATGGTTATAAAGTTCCTGGCCCAAATGTGAACCTAGAATCTAGAACAGATTAAAAAAAACCCCTTGTACAGGGAAAACAAGCAGGGGTTTGGAAATTCTTATCCTGGCCATGAAGTATCCCCTTGGCCATAAGTTCCCCTCACTTCCAACGCAGCCAGGGCCAAAACTGAAAAACACACACAAACACTCTCTCTCCCAACCCCCTTTCCCTCTCTCCTAGGAGAGGCCAGGAATGTCACAGAAGGGAGACACCCACTCTTCCACCTCACACGTATCCCTCTTGCTCAGACATGTTGCTCTCCTTATAGTAAGGGCTAAGGCCTGGTATTTGCCATCTGGTTCCTGCCCTCAGCTCATGTCACAGAATCTCCAACTTCTCCAAAGATCATCCCCTGTCCAGCCCTACCTCTAGCCCAGATGGAAGCAGAGAGGTTTCCCCTACACTGACAGGGTTCCCAAAAAAGAGACAGACTTCTCAGGAAAAATGGTAAAGAAATGACTCAAGCAGAGGCAGGAGCCAGAAACACACAGCAGCCTTTATTTAGCCACATTAGGATTGCCTTCAGTCTCTCAAATACCAAGTATGGTTCAGTTAAGAGTTTAGTCCCTCTCTGGCCTGAAGCCATTTATTGACAAAAGGTCAGAAAGGCTAGTTTATGTATAAGTGTGTGTCTCTCCCTCCCACCAATAAACAGGCACCCCCACCTACCACCCTGCAGCTATTCCCTAAAGCCTTCAGACAAGGCTGGCTAAGGACAGGAAGGGGTGAGGCCAAGCAGGGTGATTTCAATGAAGTTAACAGTCTGAATCTGCAAGATAAAGAGGCAAAGGAAACAGTTTTCTGAAGGGAAGGCAGACAACAGGCTGGTAAAACCAAAACTCCAGCGTCCGTATGCTATTTCTGAAACACTGCGTGACTATAAAGCTCACCCTTTACCTTCTTGCTTTCCCAACTCTGAGCATCATATGCTTATAGATTTAGAACTAGAAGAGGCCTTAGCAGGCACCTAGTTCCAGTTCTTCACTTTAACTGTTCAGGAAAGTGAGGCCCAAACAAGTGATGCAACTTCACCAGTGGCACACAGGTGGTAAGAAGGCCAGTTGGGATTCAAACCCCAGGTCCTCTGACTTGAATGCTTTCCACTGACCCCTGCTGCTCCTCCCTCCCCATTTACTTATTCAAGGCAGGGAGGGTGGATGGCCACCACGGACAACAGAACAGAAAGAAAACAATAAATACCCTCTTCTCTCCCCTTCTCCATTGCTCAGAGGTCTGGCCTCCCCAGCTCTACTCAGACCAGGACTGAAGGGCAGAATCAACCAAGAGATGGATGAAAGAGAGGTATGTAAGTGCATGCAATAAAATACATGGGATTAAAAAGGAAACTGAGTCTATTTAAATACAGTCATCAAAATATTTTTGAAGAAACAAGTTCACAGACCCCAGGTTAAGAATCCCTGCATAATGATCAAAGTCTACCTTTCTTTCAATCAATCAACACGTGGTATTATCAACAGGTTCTGTTGTCGAGATTTCCTGAACCTTTAGGAAACAGCCACTGTCTCCTACCAAGGCAATCTAACTCCATTCAATTGTACCAATCATTGGTAGATGGGTGTAGGTACCACATCCTACCCCTTGGGTCATCCAAGATGCTACTATGGGGATCCACACACACACTCACTTCTTGTTGGAGGTTTGAAGGAGAATGAATGGAATAGATGCCCTTTGATAAAGTGAGCCTCTCTCTATTCTCAGGGATAGAGTGACTCCACAGAGGTGATTATTACTTCCCAACTCATTCTGACATCTAAGGATCTCCAAGCATCAGACCCTGTCATTATTTTACAAATCATCATTTTACAAGTGAGGCACCATGGCATCCTCTCTTGCTCTGAGGAAAGGCAAAGACACAAAAAGCCAAGAATCATGTCTCTTGATGCTGGACAACCCACAGCTACCTCTTTCTACGTTACAAATTGGGGTTCTTATGACTGGAGGGAAGGAGTGCCCCCTAATCATGTTCAGACACACAGAGTAATCTGACAGAAGTACCTGGCTCTTTGAGCAGCCACTAACCAGGCCGGAGTCACCAGCCAGGAAACCAAATCTGACCCATAGGATGAATATTTTAGGCCCCAGAGAACCAGACACCAGGGCTGCCTTCCATGGCTTCGAACTCTGCTCCTGGCTCCCAGTCACAGAGCCCATTCGGAGCCATAACCCCATTACCCCCAGCACATGCAAGCCCAAGGTGGGGGGAGAGGGGCAGGGAATGAGCTACAAAGAGGCACCAAGAGAGGAGGAACCAGGACTGAATGCTGACTCATTAAGACCCCAGCAAACTCCGTGGATCAGGGCTGAATTAGCCATTTCATCCTGGCCTCACGATGTGCCCTCCATTCAGCTTGAGTTCCCCATAGTCCCTTCTCCTCTATAGTCCTTCTCTACACGGAGTGCTTCCCCACTTTCTGCCAGACCCTAATTCTGCTAAACAGGAAGCTAAGAAGTTCAGTTGGGAACCTAGGGCATCTCCCAAGGCTGAATCCATTCTAGGGTGTCTGGAAACTAGAACCAGTCCTAGTGACGGAGCGCCCACTTGCACGCTCCAAGAATTGAGGGCTCTCCACCCCACTGCCCTTTCCTTTCTGGTCTGTAAGCAGCTCCCATTCCAATCCTACCCAAACAAAATGATCCTCAAGCACCAATTTCCGTGGAAAGAACACTAACATTGTGGTCTCAGGACCAGAGATCGATTCTGTGTAAGTCTCTTTAGTTTTGTTATGAGGTTAGCCTAGGTCTCCCAGATGTCTAAAGCCTACCAAGGTGCACCTCAAAGACTCCCTTATTCAGAGTCAGACAACTAAGAGATTTATAAAAACCCCAGACAGACACACCCTGCCAGTCAGCCAAAGAAATAAGACAACAGCCACAAAATAGAAACAAACAACCGCAGAGGAAGAAACACTAGCTACACACAGAGGGAAGTGCGCAAGTAGATGACACGAGGCCAGAGGCCCCCAAAACTTGAGAACGACCCGACCCAAGCCGTAAATCCAAACAAACGAAGAAGAAGAAAGGAGAAAGCCAACAGCTACTTCCAGACCCCAGGAACCCTTCTCTCCCGACAGCTGTTAGGAAGACTGAATATAACCCTGGACAACTAGCTACCCGAGTAGGGAGAGGGCTGAGAAATGCAGCCCGTCCCCAGCCTTTCCTTTCCTCCCTGCCCCATTCTCATACACAGCTCCAATCAACCAACAAGGTATTAATTAAGCCTCGATTACTGGCCAGGCACAGACGGGTACAAAGACGCAATCGAAAGTCCCTGCCCTCAAGTTGCTCATATTCGAAGAGAAGAGACCACGTTCACGGAAATGGGGCTGCAACAAACACACACAAAGCTGAAACCGGGGCAGTCAGGGGAGGGAGCGCCCTAGCAGCGGGTGGTTCACGCACCTGAAACTGGGTCTCAAAGGAAATCAGGCATGTTTCAAGAGGAGAGGGTGGAAGAAGGCAACGTCTTCCTGGCCAGGGGAACGAGTATAAAAGCTCGGATAAGGGAGTGTCGAGTTTCGTTTCGTTTTGGGGGTGGGGAGACGACAGCAAGAAAGTCGGTTTGAAGGGTTCTTAATAGTCCATGGAGGAAAGTATTCAGAAGTTCGCGAAGGGAGGACGGGGTCAACTGGCGAAGCGTTTTAATTGCCCAACTAAGGGAAGTTGATAATATATTGGGTCTTAGAGCAACAGCGAGCCACTGGGGTTTACGAAGTAGGAGTTAAGGGTGACGTGATCAGACTTGAGCTTTAGGAAAGCCACTTCGGCGGCTGCGTGGGGAAAAGTTTGAAGAGGCACAGCTGGAAGGAACCCTTTCCCCAAACCAGGCTGACCCCCGGGAAGCCCCTTCCTACCTGGCCGTCCGCCGACCTACGCCGCTCTCGATGGCTCCCGGCCCTCGGGCTCTGGCTGGGGTTAGTTTGAGATGCTGGTCTCCAATGCCCCCACCCACGGAGCCGCCCCTAGGAGGGCGGGGCCAAAGGGCCCACGCGGCTCTCCAGCTGCCTTCTCGCTACAGCTGTCCCAGCCCCCGGCGTCCGCGCTGTCCGCAGAGGGCGCAAGGGAGCCAGTCATTTGTTGCGACGGCACCACCATCCCAGCAGCGCCTCCGGTGCCAGTGGGCACCGCAGCTTCCAAGTCCCTGTGTGTGCCCGGGACGGCCGGGAGGAGAATGCCGGCTTTCCAGACTGTTGCCCTCCTCCTGTCTTTTGTGATCGTCATTCCCACCCGTGCGCTCCAGCTCTCCTCACTGTCTCTTCCGTCCCTTCCGACGCTCTCTCTGAGTCCGCATAAAGGCTCTTGCCCTCTTTCCCCTACCTTCTAGACAATCAAAGCCAGCTGCTGAAAGCCTAGTTTTCTTCCCGGAGGCTCCATTTCCCAGCAATGGCCATCGCTTAATGTACTCTACCAGGCTCCAGGGACTATTGCCTTTTCCGGGAATAGCATCTACTACTTTCCCAAATACATCCATAGGTGTCACAGAGGAGCTCCCATCTGCAAAGCTGCCTTCGAGTACCAGCTGGGAGACACATATACATATTATGTGGGGGTTGCCTAAATTACTGGAGCAATGGAAAGAAACCTGTTGCGCCCTAAGATACATTTCATCAAAGATTCCCTCCAGTGAGACCTCCATGACGCCAACCAAGCTGAGGTGCAGGCCCTGAGGAGGAGCGGGTAAGGACCTCCCTACTTATAATTAGAGCTAGGAATTTTCAGACCCTGGGACCTTCCCAGCAGACCTTTCCCCCTCTCCCCACTCGAGAATCATAGCAGCTTTTGATAGGGGAAGGGGAAAGGAAACTGTGCTTACTGGAAGCATTTCTTTTTTTTTAGTTTTATTAATTTATTTTGATTTATCAATAATCACTTCCATATGCTTTTCAGTTTAAAATTTTTCTCCCCCTTCCTCCCCACCACCCTCCCCAAGACGGCCCACAATCTGATATAGGCTATATATTTACATTCCTATTAAACATGTTTTCACATTAGTGATGTTGTAAGTAAACATTAAAACCAATAGGAGGAACCATCAGAAAGAGGAAACAAAACTCAACAGAAGAGGGAAAAAGATAGCAATTCAGCTTCCATAGTTCTTTCTTTGGATGTGGATAGCATTTTCCATCACTAGGCCTCTGGAGATGTCTTAGATCCATGTATTGCTGGGAAGGGCTAAGTTTATCAATATTAGTCATTGCACAACGGGGCTGTTATTGTGTACAGCATTCTCTTGGTTCTGTTCATTTCCTTCAGCATCAGACTATACCAGTCTTTCCAGGTTTTTCTGAAGTCAGCCTGCATCATTTCTTATAGAACAATAGTATTCCATTACATTCATGTACTACAACTTGCTCAGCTATTCCCCAATTGATGGGCATCCTCTCAATTTCCAATTCTTTGCCACCACAAAAAGAGCTGCTATGAATATTTTTGTACATGTGGGTCCTTTTCCCATTTGTATGATTTCTTTGGGATATAGCCCTAGAAGTGCTATTGCTGGGTCAAAGGGTATGCACATTTTTATAGCCCTTTGGTCTTAGTGGAAGCATTTCTTAGTAAAAGGAGTGGTCAGCCTCGACCCTTGGGCTCCTGTTCTCAGCTGGGCTAGATAAAGAGAAAGCCCTCCAGGGCAGAGGTGGGGAATTGTGAAGTTTGGATTCAGTCAAAGGGCCATATGTGAGGACCTAGAGGGCCACACAGGGCCCTGAGGCTGCAGGTTCCCAGGAAGGTAAACATTAAGTGGTTCCCTGAATGCTCCATATTCTGATTCTCAAAGTGTCAAGTCAGAAGCCATGCAGCTGTAGTCCAAAGAGCCTCAGCTTTAAAAGCAAAGAAACTCTGTTGGGAGCAAAGGCGTAACTAGAAATTATGGTGCCATGGGAAAGAAACATGAAAGGCACCTTGCCCAGTATAGGAGAGAGTCTTCTAGGCTGCCAAGAGAGGAAGAAGCAGAAATGTGGGCTAGTGAAGATCTCTCCTAGGAAGCAACCACCCTGCTGAGTGTAGAAATGGAATTATTCTTGTTAACTAGACAAATTCAACATGCACCTTTTAAAATTCAACCTTGAGCAAAGCTAGATTCTGCTACTGATTAGCTGTGTGACCTTGGGAAAATTACTTCATCTCTGAGTTTCAGTGACTCTCCATATAAAGTATTAGACTAGATGATCCCTAAGGTTCCTAATAATAATAATACATATTTTGTTACATTTTTTTAAAATTTATTTATTTTTATTTTCAACATTTACTTGCGTAAGATTTTTGAGTTTCAAATTTTCATCTCACCCTCCCCCCACCCTAAGATGGCATGCATTCTGAATATCCTTCCCCTAGTCTGCCTTCCCTTCTCTCTCTCTCCCCCTTCTCTTATACCCTTCCACTTCTACTTTCTTGTAGGGCAGGATAGATTTCTGTACCTCATTTCCTGTATTTCTTATTTCCCAGTTGCATGTGAAAACATTTTTTTAAACATGTGTTTTTAAAACTTTGGGTTCCAAATTTTCTCCCTTCCTCCCTCCCCACCCACCCTCATTGAAAAGGCAAGCAACTCAATATAGGTTAAGCAGTTAGGCAAAACACTTCCATAGTAGTCATGTGAAAAACTAACTCTACTTCCCTTAATCCTATCCCACCCACCCCCATTTATTCTATTCTTTCTTTTGACCCTGTCCCTCCTCAGAAGTGTTTGCTTCTGATTACCTCTTTCCCCATCTGCCCTCCTCTTATCATCCCTGCTCTCTTGTCCCCTTCTCCCCCTATTTTCCTGTAGGGTAAGACAGATTTCCATACCCAATTGAGTGTGTATGTTATTCCCTCCTTAAGCCAAATCCTATGAGAATAAGATTCACTCATTCCCTCTCACCTTCCCCTGTTTCCCCTCCACTGTAAGAGCCTTTTCTTTTCTGTTTTTTGTGAGATAATTTACTCCATTCTACCTCTCCCTTTCTCCTTCTTCCAGTATAATCCTCTCTAACCCCTTAATTTTATTCTCCAGATAGGAACCCTTCATCTTCAACTCACCCTGTGCCCTCTATCTATCTATCTATCTATCTATCTATCTATCTATCTATCTATCTATCTATATACATACAGATAATTTTTTCCCTCCAACTACCCTAATACTGACAAAGATCTCATGAGTTATAAATATCATCTTTCCATGCAGGAATGTAAATAGTTCAACATTAATAAGTCTCTTATGATTTCTCTTTCCTGTTTACCTCTTCATGTTCCACTTGAGTCTTGTATTTGAAAGTCAAATTTTCTATTCAGCTCTGGTCTTTTCATCAAGAATGCTTGAAAGTCCTCTATTTCACTGAATGACCATTTTTTCTCCTGAAGGATTATATTCAGTTTTGCTGGGTAGGTGATTTTTGGTTGTAATCCTATCTCCTTTGCCCTCCTGAATATTATATTCCATGCCCTCAGTCCTTAATGTAGAAGCTGCTAAATCTTGTGTTATCCTGATTGTGTTTCCACAGTACTTGAATTGTTTCTTCTGGCAGCTTGTAATATTTTCTCCTTGACCTGGGAACTCTGGAATTTGGCTACAATATTCCTAGGAGTTTTCCTTTGGGGATCTCTTTCAGGAGAGATCAGTGGATTCTTTCAATTTCTATTTTGCCCTCTGGTTCAAAATATCAGGGCAGTTTTCCTTGATAATTTCTTGAAAGATGATGTCTAGGCTCTTTTTTTGATCATGGCTTTCAGATAGTCCAATAATTTTTAAATTCTCTCTCCTGGATCTATTTTCCAGGTCAGTTGTTTTTCCAATGAGATATTTCACATTGTTTTCTAATTTTTCATTCTTTTGGATTTGTTTTACAGTGTCTTGATTTCTCATAAAGTCACTGTCTTCCAATTGCTCTATTCTAATTTTTAAGGAAGTATTTTCTTCAGTAAGCTTTTGGACTTCCTTTTCCATTTGGCCAATTTTCTTTTTAGGGCATTCTTCTCCTCATTGGCTTTTTGGACCTCTTTTGCCATTTGGGTTAGGCTATTTTTTAAGGTGTTATTTTCTTCAGCATTTTTTTGGGTCCCCTTTATCAAGCTGTTGACTTGTTTTTCATGATTTTCTTGCATCACTTTCATTTCTCTTCCCAGTTTTTCCTCTACTTCTCTTACTTGCTTCTCAAAATCCCTTTTGAGCTCTTCCAAGGCCTGGGACTCATTCATATTTTTCTTGGAGGTTTTGGATGTAGGAGCTTTGACTTTGTTGGCTTCTTCTGGTTGTATGTTTTGATCTTCTTTGTCACACCAAAGTAAGATAATATAGTCTGACTCTTTTTGTGAGGCTTGCTCATGATCCAGGCCAATTACTTGAGTTTTAAACTCTTTATTAAGGTAGAGGTCTGCTTCCAATGTGGAGAATGTACTGTCCCAAGCTTTGGGGGTTTGTACAGCTGTTTTCAGAGATACTTCTAGGGACCTATAAATTTTCAGTTCTTCCAAGATGGTATGATAAGGGGCAAGGTGTTTACTCCTTGCCTGGCCTGTGCTGTGG